TTCCATCTGTTATCCCAGAGGAGCAAGTTGATCCCCCTGGAATCCCACAATCCCTGGGCCGGGAGGGAAGGGCCAGGCTGAGGTTCTCCCGTTCATTTTTCCCACAGAATTTTTGGGATCTTACCTGCAAACGCCATAATTTTCACTATCTGCCCGGGCTCAATCCTGTGATTCAAAATCCTCTGCTGCTCGTGGGTCAGCTTGACCTCATCCCAACTGTGGAAAAAAATCGGGAAAAAACAACAATAAATGAATGGAAAAGGAATTAAAGAAAATAAATCCTCCCAGACAACTCCATTAACGAAGAAATGGGGTTATTGATCCCATCCCAGGAGCGGGAATTTGGCACTGGAGCAACCTGGTTCTTGGGGAAAAAGGAGAAAAGCAGGGAATAAGAGAATATTGGAGCAAAAATAAAGAGTAAAACTCTTATTATTGAAGAATCCAGAAGAATTTGGAAGCTGGAAATCCCAAATCCCAGCCCGGCTCGAAGAATCCAAAAGGTCACACGGGAAAAGGTCTTCCCAAATTAAAATTAATTAAGTAAAATTAATTTGGCAGCCTGGCTCCTTAAGCTTATTAAAAACCACCAGCTTTATCTCGGCCAGGGACGAAATCACAGCATTCCCATTCCATAGGAAATAGGAATAAATGAGTCAATCCAGGGGAAATGCAGCGGGAAGGGAACCAAGCCTGGATCTCCACAGGTCAGGGAAGGGTTTCACTCCTTGTTGTCCTTCTTTTCTAGGCAGCAAGTAGCCAAAAAATATTAATATTTAACATATAGATCAATACATTTTAATCTATATATCCATGTATAGATATATAAATTATGGATAATTATAAATTATATCATGTCTAAAATTAAAATAGATATAAATATATCAATATATATAATATTTATTAATATATAAAATAAATATAAAATATATAATTTAATATATAATATAATATGTAATATAAAATATATAATATAATATAATATATATTATATAATATATATTATATTAT